CACTTGTCAGTGTTGAAACCCATCCTGTTCTCATCCGCCCACCCCTGTAACTTGTCTAGGTCTGATTGCAGCCTATTCCTTGCTTCTAGCATCCCACATCCCCCCCCCATCTTAGTGTCATCTGCGAATTTGAACAAGGTGGTTTTTACCCCCTCATCCAAGTCACTGATGAAGATGTTGAACAGTGCAGGCCTAGGACCGAACCCTGGGGGACCCCACTGCCCACATTCTTCCAGGTTGAATAAGACCCGTCCACCACCACTCACTGGGTGCAGCCCTCCAGCCAGTTAGTGACCCAATTGACTGTGTAGGTGTCGATGCCACAGACCCCTAGTTTTTTAATGAGAATGGGGTGAGAGACAGTGTCAAAGCTTTCCAAAAGTCCAGAAAGACTACATCCACTGCTACCCCTGCATCTAAGGATGTTGTGATCTGGTCATAGAAGGCCACCAAGTTGGTTTGACAGAACCTGCCTCTAATGAACCCATGTTGGTTGCCCTTAAGCATAATCTCTCCTGCTGGCCCCTCATGGACATGCACCATGATAATTCTCTCAAAAAGCTTACCCAGGATCAAGGTAAGACTAACTGGCCTATAGTTTCCTGGGTCCTCCTTCCTCCTTTTTTTGAAAATGTGAACCACATTGGCCCTGTTCCAGTCCTCTGGCACCTCACCAGAGTGCCACGAATGCTCATAAAGCTATGCCAGGTGTCCCGCAATGTCCTCTGCTAATTTCCTGAGCACTCTGGGGTGGAGATCATCAGGACCAGCTGATTTAAATACATCCAGTCCCTCCATAAGCTTCCTGACTAGATCCTCACTAATCTTAGGCCTGCGTGCGCCTCCCCTGTGGCCTGCAGGGGACCCGGTGGGGGGGTGACCCAGTGCCTACTCAGGAAAATGGATGCAAAGAAATTGTTAAATAGGTTAGCTTTGTCATCTGGTGTGACGACCAGATTTCCTAGCGTGTCTTGCAGAGGCCCCACATTACCCAGTACCTTCTTTTTATGTATTTAAAAAAGGACTTCTTGTTGTCCTTGATCCGGGTAGCTAGTCCCAGTTCCATCTCCGCCTTGGTCTTCCTGACCGCCACCCTACACCCCAAGCAACTAAAGTATAGTCCTCCCTGGTGATGGCCCCTCCCTTCCATTGGGTGTATGCCTCCCTTTTAGCCAGGAGACATTCCTGTATGCTTTTGGTGAACCATGGGGGCATTTGTGCCCTCTTGCCCCCTTTCTTCTGTTTTGGGATTACCTCCTGTTGGGCCTGGAGGATCGTCTCCTTAAGGAATGACCACTCTTCTTGGACACCCAGCTCCTCTCCCCTCTAGGACCTCAGTGCCTTCCCAACTATTCTCCTTACCTCATTGAAGTCCACCCTCCTGAAGTCCAGGGCTGCTGCCTTGCTGCAGACCTTTGCAACCTTGTGCTGGATGGTGAATTCCAGCAGGCAATGATCGCTGCCACCCAGGTGGTCGAGCACCAGCAGACCCCTCACCAGGTCATCGCCCGTGGCCAGGCCCAGGCCCAACAAGGCGTCTCCCCTGGTGGGGCTGTGCACCTCCTGGGTTAGATGGAGGTCCTGTATCTCAGTTAGGAACCTACGTGAGTGGTCAGATTTTGGACCCCTTGCTCTGAGTTGGTGCTTCATGGAATACCTCAAGCCTTTTGGGCTAGATGAGTGGCTCCAAAACTTCCCCTTTACCATGCCCTATGTCTCACAGGTGGTATATAAATATTATCTCACTGATAAAGTCTTGTCCTAACTTGGCCTCCTGTTGTCACTGGGCCCCTGGCTCTTGCAACTGCACCCCTCTGGTACTGGGCTCTGCAGTCCCTGTGACTGCACCTCTCTAGTGCTGGGCCCTACATAAGTGTGTGCCCCAATGAGGCCTCCTCCTACCCTATTAGCCTCTTTCTGGTCCACCAGTATAAAAGACAACAGAAGAACAAGCTGAATGGGCTGCAGTATAAGAATAATAATGCTGGCCACACTCTGCCCCTTTAAGGAGGTAAACTTCTCTTTTATTATGGTGTACCTCCTAGCTCTACTAATCTTGTAGGCAGCAGCCCAGACCATCAAACATCTCTAAGTAGTTCTTTCCTGCAAGAGCTCCTTACCCTGGCGGGCCCAGCGTGGGGCAGCAGGAGCACCAGGCCTGAGCTGGTGGCAATGAGAAGACATGGCAACCAATTATCTCTAGTTACATTCATTCCTATGGGGAAATGATTTTCACTTAGCATTCGGTTCTGCTTAACACTCAGTTTTTCCAGAATCAATTAAGAGCATTAAGCAGGGTTGCCTGTAGTTAAAGCATTTTTTTCTTTGTTTTGTTCTTTAAATAGGCTAAGGTTCTTGTCAGTCAGCTCTCCACAGTGTGTGAAAGTGCATGGATTCTAGGACTTCACCAGACTTTTCTACTACTACTAATAATTGGGAGATGGCTTCTTCCTATTGGTGCTGAAATCACCCGTGATCAGTTGTCGCAGCTGCTTCTTATGTTTGTGGGAACTGCAGCAGATATACTTGAATTCACTAGTGACAGCTTGGAAATAAAAGACATAAGGTAAATAATATTTTCTGAAGTACATACTTTGCATGCAGCAGATAACTACTCAAAGATATTTGTTTCACATCAAATTTTGTTACTTTCTGTGCATTTTAAGTCAGTGGCTCCTAACCTTGGGTTGTGACCCAAGGGTCCCAAATCAGCCCCTTGCTCCATCTCTCCCACCTGCGGGGCTCTCCCAGTGCACAGTCCACATGGTTTTCACCACTGCTGCCCCCCCATTATCCCAGCATGCCCTGGGCTCTGCTGGCACCACTGGGCATGAGTGAGTCGGTGGCAGGGGCATGGGGCAGGGATCACAACCCAGATTTAGAGTTACAGCAAAAAAAAGTTGGGAGCCACTTTTTAAGTTGTTGTACCCGAGATAACTATTGTATTCAGTGGACTCTATTATATTCCTAACTTTCCCTAACTCAAGGGCTGTCAACTGGGGATACGCATACACCCAGGGATACTTTAAAAGATTGTAGTGTGTATGCATGGGTGGGTTAGCATGGAGTGTGCCCTGGGTGCAGCAGCGGTGTCTTCCCTGGGGAGGGGGAGGGATGTGCTGGGTGCCATCAGCCACACACAGCACACTGCAGTGCCTCCCCACCTCCAAACGACAGCTCACTCTCCTGATTGGCCTCTACCCCCTTACAACAGAGCCATGAGGCTCTGAACGGCAAGGGAAGGAGGAGAGGGATTGTGTCCTCTTCCTGCCCCCAGCAGCACATGATTGCCTGGGTGCAAGACCAGTCAGCAGCTGGTGGAGCCTCATGTGCGACTGGCCATGGGAAAGTGGCACAAGGCATGGTGGAGATGGCAGCGTGGGCTGTGAAGGCTGTGACAGTGATGGCAAATGTTTGTGCAGATACCTGAAAGTGGTTATTATAAATTGAATTAGTGCCTGATTAATCTTCTCCTGGGCCTGCTAGCCCAGTGGGGTACCTTTGGCAGTGCAACCACTCTCCTTGCAAGGCAACAGGGCTCCAGCAGTCACCCTGCCCCCAGCTCTAATTCCTGACTCCAGCAGTCACCCTGCCCCCAGCCACTCCCTTGACAGCCTCTGGATGTGCCACCAGGCTTCCACTGTCCCAGGACCCAGCCTGGCCTGAGCCTCATTCACTGTGGCATCCCACTGTGGGGATGTTCATCTCCCCCCCACCTCCTGCAGCCACTTCCCTTTCCCTTGCCCCACCCCTTCCCCCGCACACACTTACCTGCTGGGGGGGGACGGTGAGTCCATGTGTGTGTCTGTGTGTGTCTGCATCTCTGTGTGTTGTGTCTGCATCTTTGTGTGCTTGTATGTGTGTGTGTGTCTTTCCCCTGCCCACCCGGTGGTAGGAGGGACATGGCATTGCATGGCTCTTGGGGCAGCAGCAGCAGGGTGTAGAGTCCAGCTTGCAGCAGCAGCTGCCTTGCTCCATGCAAAAGTCTGGGAGCATGTTTCCCTGCCCTCCCTCCCTGCATCCCCCCAGACAAGCTGCCCTTGTGGCTCCATCCCACACTCCACCCTGGCTGTGCAGTGCCTGCTTCTGCCCCTGCCTCAGCCCCAGCTCCAGCCCCAGCCCCAGCCCCAGCTCTCCCTCACCATGGGGGCCTCAATTTTAACACCCCCCCACTCTTTTAAAACAAGGAAAAGATATAAAGGGGTACATGAGCTGAAACTTTGAGGCAGAAAGGGTACACTTGTTAAAAAAGGTTGAAAACCCCTGCCCTAGCCCTTCCTAAGAGGCACAAGTAGCTCCCATGAGTTTTATTGGAGATATTTATATATAACAAACATAGAAACTTACCACATCCCATAAAATAATGGGGCTGAGTGAAGAAATGGTGTAACATGGTGTTACAGTACTTACAGCTAGAGCTAGTCCAACTATTGGTACAAATATGCAAAAACAGAAAAGTAAGTCTGTAAAAATTTGTTAGTAAATTGTTCCTAAATTAATCCTTTTTCATAAATTAGATACTGACTGTGATGTTGTATCAAATAGTTTGCTCTATTTATTATCTAAATTGTGTGGTTGGTTATTTTATGTAGATTTTCCCTTCTTGATAGGGTGATGGTGTTTTAAAACAAGAAAACAGGGAATGTTTCCAGTGTGAATTTGCAGATGATGAGGGACTTGCACAATTTTGGAAGCTTTTAACAGATTCACATTATCTGATTTCTCACAAATAATGCAACTCCCACAGGAAGGCACAAATGCCCCCATGGCTCCCCAAAAGCATCTGGGAATGTCTTCTAGCTGAAAGGGGGGCGTACATCCAATGGAAGGGAGGGGCCATCACCAGGAAGGATTATACTGTGGTTGCTTGGGGATGCAGGGAGGCAGTCAGGAAGGCCAAGGCGGAGATGGAACTGGGACTAGCTTCCCAGATCAAGGACAACAAGAAGTCCTTTTTTTAATACATAGGGGGTGAAAAGAAGGTACCGGGTAATGTGGGGCCCCTGCAAGACACACTAGGAAATTTGGTCATCACACCAGACAACAAAGCTAACCTATTTAATGACTTCTTTGCATCCATTTTCCTGAGCAGAGACAAGATCAGCCCCCACACCGGGTCCCTCTCAGGCCCCAGGGGAGGCGCACCTAGGCCAAGGGTCAGGAAGGATCTAGCTAGGGAACTTCTGGAGGGACTGGATGTATTTAAATCAGCTGGTCCTGATGATCTCCACCCCAGAGTGCTCAGAGAATTAGCTGAGGTCATTGCGGGACACCTGGCATGGTTTTACGAGCACTCGGGTGCTCTGGTGAGGTGCCAGAGGATGGAAAGAGGGCCAATGTGGTTCCCATCTTCAAAAAGGGGAGGAAGGAGGACCCGGGGAACTATAGGCCAGTTAGTCTTACCTTGATCCTGGGTAAGCTTTCTGAGAGAATTATTCTGGCACATGTCCATGAGGGGCCAGCAGGAGAGATTATGCTTAAGGGCAACCAACATAGGTTCATTACAGGCAGGTCCTGTCAGACTAACCTGGTGGCCTTCTATGACCAGGTCACCAAATTCTTAGATGCAGGGGTAGCAGTGGACATAGTCTTTCTGGACTTTCGGAAGGCCTTTGACACTGTCTCTTACCCTGTTCTCATTAAGAAACTGGGGGACTATGGTGTTGACAGCTACACAGTCAAATGGGTCACCAGCTGGCTGGCAGGCCGCACCCAGAGAGTGGTAGTGGATGGGTCATTTTCGACCTGGAGGGATGTGGGCAGTGGGGTTCTGCAGGGCTCAGTCCTCGGCCCTGCACTGTTCAACATCTTCATCAGTGACTTGGATGAGGAGGTAAAAAGCACCCCGTTCAAATTTGCTGATGACACTAA